TTCCCTACCAGAGGTAAAAAAATATATATCCAGCTAATCAATTTTAAGTTGCAGAGGGCTTGTTTTTAACTCCCTAATGTCACTGCAACCCTGTGAGTTTTCCTAAAGTGTATAGTGCCAAGAACCAAACTGGAAGTGGCTGTCATCTCCATTGTCACAGCGGCTTTTTGAGAGGATAGTTCAAACACATGATAACATGCCTTCCCCTTAGGTTTAAGGAAAAGTATTCCTCCCACATGCCCTCTCCTCCCAGAGGTGAAGGCACAGTTAGAACATGTATAAATGCATATGCATACACCTATATAGTGCCATTACTTCAGAAGTGACAAGAAAAACATTCCCACTTGTTTAAACTCCTTTCAGCTGGATGCATACCTGCTCTGAGCGGAGTTTGCAGCAGCCTGCATCACTGCAGCAGCTGCCTCCTGTGCCTTACGGTTCACAGTTGGCATGGGTGGGCCCATCCCAGGGCCTCCCTGCTGAGACATGCCAGGAGAATTGGGGGTCATACTGCTCATGTTTCCAGGAAATGGTCTGCTCTGCATCCCCGCTGATGGCATGCGTCCCAGGGGCATGGTACCGCAAGGCTGGCTTGGCCCCTGTCCATGCATCTGACTGTTGGCATTTATACCCATGCCAGGTCCTGGGCCACTGTAACTTGTGTTGGGCACGCCGCTGTATGTCGGTGGTCTGGAGTAGTTTCCTGAACAAAATGATAAAAAGCATAGAGAAAAACATTAAACTTTTAAGCAAATATTTCTATTTAGGAAGTTAGCAGCTGCAGAACTTATGCATGTGAACTAAAGTGAATTGCGGTGCCCTCAAAGGCAGAGCAACTTTTTCACCATGAGGACAAACAGTGGATTAAGCTGCCTGAGGAGGTTGTGCAGACTCCCTCCTTGGAGGTTTTCAAGACCCAGTTGGATAGAGCCACAAGTAACCCGCTCTGATCTTATATCTGACCCCAATTTGAATACAATGTCAGCCAAGAGCAACTCCTGAGCACTCTTCCAACCTGAATGATAGTATGACCCTGATATTCATGTACCCTCAAACATTTTCTGCCTAATATATGTCATGGGATAACAGCAAATACGGAAAAGCACAGCCTCCAGAGGGTTAACAACGTAGCACACAGTACAAAACTGCCTTAAGCAGTAAAGGCATATGTGGCATGTGAGAAACCCCTTACATAAGCTCAAGGGAGAATCTTTTATCTGTGATTACATGTTCTTATTCTTCATCTTTCTGCAATTTCAGCAACAGGCTATTCTCACCGGCTTCTTGCCCCTAACCATTCTGCCCATTTGTGTCAGAGATGCTTTGGCACAGACCAGGGAGGACGGCTGCCCGGCCCTCTCCTGCCTGCCCCACCCTGCCTTCCTGGTAAGTTCGAAGTTTGGCTATGCCAGCCGAAGGGGTGGTAGCTTACAGTGCATATCTTCTGGGAAAATTAGTATTACAAGAGCAATCAGCAATAGTACAACGATTCTAATGTAAACAGGTGCCTTAGGAAGGATGGCATGAAAACCTGGCTGACCCCAATCTACACTGTCACTGCAGCAAACTGCTCTGCTTGCAGCAGCTTAACTCATTTGAGTGCCGATTTTCGTTATCATGCTGGAAGCTCAAGAAAAAGCATTCAGTGTTACAGAAACAAACCCAAGCAGCATGAGAAAGAGGAAAAAAAAAAAAGTTAAAGATATGACAGAAAAGTATTTTAGGAAACGCATCACATTACACTACTTCAGTCATCAGTTTTGACTTGTCTTTATTTCCATCTCATCCAGATTAGTGGAAACGCGACCCGTTCCCTCCCTGTGGGATGCCACAGAGCAGAATTTCCTGATTACTCTCAGATATTCCCACGCTCGTTCAAAGGCAGCAGCCCTTGGACTCTTCCTCTGAACGTGGAGATCAGCCATGTCTCTCCTCAGGCCTCAGCTACCAGGCAGAGGAGTCGGTGGCGTGCAACTCGTGTTTATATTTAAAAGAAATATATTCATCCATCACTTGAATGCACACATAATTAATTCATACGCTCCTGCTGCTGTGCTTTGGCTAATCCTCCCCTCTTCCGCACCCGGTAACTGACTCACTCTGCTACAAGTTCTCCTCAGCAAGAACGCGCGAGACCTACGCTTCCCAAGGAAATGGAGCAACAATTCTCTTCTGCTTTAGAAACCAAGTTTCTGCCTGGGGGTCTTCACATAAGGATCCCCGATATGTGGTTCAACAGAGATGAAAGGCTCCAGATTCGGCTTTATGCTGACTTCAGACTGTCCTGTCATTTCTCCTTCTCCTCTAGGCTCGGCTGCTGGCAGCTGACTATCTTCTTCTGTTCAGCGAGCCATTGCCCCTAGCCAGGGTTTTGGCTGCTGAGACCTGCTCAAGGCACGCTTCTGATCCAACGTAGGTGACCACAAACTGAAGGGTTCACTGGTTTCACACTGCTCTGCTTAGTGTTAAAGGTGTAACACACAACTCAGATGTTGCTCCGGTTCTCCAGCTGCTTTGTGCAAGAAAAATGTAATGCAGCAAGGTGGTGTATATGTGCGCTCAAAGATCACACACAGACAGCTAACACATTTTATGTGTACATGCTATTAGTAACACTGCTTCCCAAAGTGAAGCAAATTCCATCCCTAGACTAGCAGACCCGATATTCATCATCACTGAGAGCCACTGTCAGTCCAATTTACATAAAGCCAATTTGTTTTGCCAGTTAGGGTCGACAAAGTACGGTTCGGCAGCCTGCTTGGAGAAGCAAACACCAATGCTAAATACTATTGCTGTTTTGATGCTATTTTGAGTTGGGACAAAAAAATCTCTTCTTTCGTCTTTTGGCTTCTCCAGTGTAAGCACAACACAGAAAAAAAACATTAGAATCCTCTCCGTAAAAATATGTGGCTCAGTTAAAATAGCTCCTAATCATTCATCTCCAGGGATACACGTTCAAAAGTACAGGGAAGTGGTATCTTTTCAGTAAGGAAAACAAGTTTCCATGTTTTTTCCATGTTTTTTTTTCCCCCTAAGCATTTCCTCAATACCTCAAGTACTAGCTATTCTTATACCTTTCCCAGACCACAAAAAAAAAGGCAAAACAAAAGCCAAACAAAATGCAAGAGGAATTGCCAGGAACGAGGACTGCAATCTTATTTCCATGTTTCTCTAATAGATTAGTAATTTGTTGGCAGTGGCTTTGACAGAAAACAGATGGATGCAGCATTAAACACAATGAATGCAGCAGATGCTAGGCCAGCCCACATCAGCTGGACGTGTCAGGCAGCCAAGTCCAAGAGCCCACACTTTTCAAGTGGGTACAAGCCTGGCAACAGTGGCTGTACAACACTACTGAACAACTCCTCCCCTCCAGATCCGAGGGATTTTTGATTTCAACTCCCCCTTGGCAGAGTAGAATTGTACCCAGAGAGGCAACATCTCAAATGCACAAGAAAAAGCAAAGCAGTAACTGAAATCAGGAAGGGGAAAAAAATGTGTAATGAAGATAAAATATAAAAAAGCCTACTAACAACCTGCCAAAGACAGATGTTCGTACTTACTGCTGAAACTCTGGTCCACTTTGTCCAAGTTTGCTGAACAAAGTGCTCTGATATCTTGCCATTTCTAGGCAAGCTGAAAAGAGGGAAATTTGGGAACTATCTGTTAGTTTTGATCTCTGCTTTAGAGACACAGGTCAGAGTCACAGTATTAAAAATAGTATCTTAAAATCATTCTAGAGTTGTTTACATGTGCACTTAACCATCAAGCATTTCTTCTACAGATGATTTAAATGTACTGTTCTGAATTCTTCTGAAACTGTTTTACCTAGGGGACTTCAGTAGATACAGTTGATATTTAAGTCTTGACTCCACAGGCTGTTGCATATGTGGGCCTGGATTCTGAGGTCCAGAATTAGGGCATCTCATCCTTAAGATGCTACCACTTTAATTAAAAACTAGGATTAAAATCAGTGGGATCTAGATAGCAAAGTGCTTTTGTGAAATGAGTCCAACATCAAAGGTTACAAAGCACAAATACTCAATTCATATTAGCGTACCATGACCAAAAGGGGGTTTAACTTACTGTGAAGTTCTGGGGTTGAGGGTCAAACATATTCAGTAGTGGTTTCTCTCTCTATTACACCCAAACAGAACAGTTTTACTGCTGATTTGAGTAGGAAAAGTTAGGGAGTGGGATGCATTTCTGACATGTTTTACTGATCCACAGGAGGTTTTTCTCAGCCCCACTCTTAAAAGACCCAACAGACTACAGCATCCAACTGCTCTCCAGAGTGCATTTAAGGGACATTTTGCTGTGGCAGCAGTTTGATACTCGGGTCATAGACCAGGGCTTCATTAGCTCCCCAAGCTAGATGTTGTCCAAGTACAAACCAAAGAGACTGTTTCTTTCAGTAACAGCTTCCATTCTCGTTCTGCCTTTTTTTTTTTTTTTTATTCCTGGGGACAGGAAAATGCCGGGATTGAATTCAAAATTAAAACCGATGTTCTGTACTGCATGCTCCTGTGTTGTATCACAGACATACAGAAGTGTGGAGCCAAAGCCATTTTTTATTTTTGTAGGAAATGGTTTCACAGGATTAGACTAGGTCCCCAGCACAAAATTGCTTCCTGGGAAAATATATTCTACTCTTATTATAGATCTAAGTGTCATGTAAACACATGAAAACCAAATAAATCAGCCATATGCATGAAATGGATCATTCTGCTCTCATGAACTGGGGGCTAATTCCTCCAACCCAAACTTACTGGTGTAGTTTTTACCATGGTGAGCAATTCCACTGCAGAGGAAGGACACCAGCCTTGAGCAACAGTCTTCAGGACAGCACACAGTGAAATCTAGCATTCAGACTAAAAGCTTAATGTCACAGAATGTTCTGAGACATATATCAAAATACAAGTAGTACTGTCAAACTCAGCCTATGCTTAACAATATTCTGGAGAATGGCCTCCGTGAATATGCAGAAAGCAAGTAAAATCCTTGAGAATTATTTTAGTTTAATAATTTAAGAAGTCTGTTGCAACCCAGGTATTTTTTAATATATTTGTTATTTTGGCAATAAAAGGCAAATGGAGTAACATATATTCTTCATTTCTGGCATATAATTGTACTTTGTAAGAGATGCAATTATAGATTACTTTCACAAAAAATGCTATAAAAAACTTAAATCCAGGTAAATACATGACTTTGAAATATCACCATCTTTATCCCCAGTTTTCATTAACAGTTATATTAGCCTGGTGAAAACGTAGTATTTTTCTGCTCTATTTGTTACCTGTAGAGCTGAAAGTCTGCAGGGCCCTAATTTTATGATGACCAGTGCACAGGATCACTGGTACTCTGCAAGAGCTGGCAGGAGAACACGCTTTTCATCCATCACACTATTCATCAGACCCTTCTGAAACGGCCTGTTAATGACAATGATGCTCATTTTCTTCCTGCCCCTCAAGTTCACTTTTTAATAGCCGTTTCTTCCTGACCGCGACCCATAAAATCATTACATAGGCACTTTCATCTACAGAGGGAGGAAAAGAACTGCTGAACTCAAGCAAAAAAGAAAGTAGTATTCGGCGTGTTACTTAAATGCATTGATTTAGTACAAAAACCTTTCCATTCAATCAGTGTGGATGGCTAATGTTTTACTGTGCTTGACACCACTATTCCCATGGTTCGGAATCTCAGCAGCAGCAGTACAGCTGGAAGTCAGGATAGCACATCATAAATCCACTGGATTTTTACCAGTTAAGCTAGTTGCTCACTGTGCAGATAAAAATAAGCACTTGGACAGCATTTTATGGCCACAAAATGCTTTCCAAATAAAAGGGAAGCACCAGTCAACTGGAGTTAGGCAATTAATCTTCACACATGGCTATAAGGCATTACTAGCCCCATTTTACAGTTAAGGAAAGCGAAGCAGAGAAAGGAATCTACTTGCCTAAGTTGAAAGATGGTGTAAAACGCAGAGCCAAATTTAGAAACTGGGAAGTCTTGGCTTGTAGCCCTGTGCTCAGAACTCTACAACAAACGTGACCCAGAGATGAAACAGAAAGGAACATTGCGCAGGGCAGCAAGGCTCCCTGCAAACAAACATCAAAACTTGTTCTCAGAAAGCCTGGAGACTAAAATAACCATCCTTGCTAGCATGGGCAAGCTACCGAGCCCTTACAGAATTTCCCATCGCTGGCTCCAGTCCTTTTTGACGATTTTAACAAAGCAAGCAATAATAGGAAGTGCTGAAATAGAAGAGCTTCTTTATGTACCTCTAAAGAAAATACTGCCCCTTATATATTCTGTGTCTTGACTTAAAGTTCATTGAACCCCTAAACAGATGCATACTTTATAAAGGTTGTCCATTAAACGCAAAACAATAGACAAGTTCAACGTTGTATGCACTGAATGTCCAGGGGCAGAAATTGTGTATTCTATTTTTGTTTTAGTCCTCCAACAATTCTGTCAAACAAGCAAAAGAAAAGGAACTGCCTCTCTCAGTCTGAAGGGTTAGTTAAGATTCACAAACTGTATGCATTAGAGCCCAATACTATATTCACACAGTAGCCACCGTATTATTATGCTCATTAGAAGACTTTAACCCTCACAGTCACCACGCAATTTCAGATCGGCCTTGGGATTCCACCTAAGAAAAGAAGTCCTATTTTGGGATTGGTGTTGTGACCCTTATCCATGCTTGGTCAAACGTGGCCTCATCGCACAGATGACATGCTTGGGTTCCTAAACAATGGCCCTGGCAATGCAACAGATTCATCATTTCCTTACCCAATTTAAGGTTGCTATTTTTATACAGAGAAAGGTGCTAATAACACAAGCAGCTTCTTCCACAAGGTGCAGCTCCATCTCTGAATGACAGTTTCATTTGTTTAGTTTTTTTCGGGGAGGGTGTTGTGCTTTTGTGGGTTTTGTTGTTTTTCTTTTTAAGAAATCACATACCTACCTACATACACAAGATATGTATTTCTCTCTCTACATCTCACAAATACATATATAAAAATTATCATATATATTACCAGCAAGCATTTTACCTTGTGGTCCATACTGGCTCATCTGAGGCCCATAAGTACCACTTGAATTACTCTGCTGAAAGCTACTGATTCCAGGATGCACCTGGCCTCCAGGTGAGGGGTGTGGTGACATGGAAGGTCCAGTTTGCTGAGGTCCATATTGTGACATTTGGGGGTTCCTCTGTATGCCTGCCATAAAACCTAAAGGGAAAAAATCGCCAAAGCAAAAATTAATATTCAGGTAACTGTTCTTTATTTAAGGAATCTTTGACATTAAAAAAAACCCCAACCCTCTTTAGTCATTTTCAGACTGAAGATACCCAGAAAAGTGCTATTGTTCATACGAACAGAAACAAATGCATTGCCAAGTCAGCAAAGCAGTCTCAACAGCCAAAACCTAAACCTGTATAGAAGGCTCAAAAACTTTTACTTGTAAAAGACAGACAGGGCAGTCCTGCTTAGTTACAAATGCCTGCTGATTATAAAATTAAAACCATCTTCAGGGAAAAAAAAAAAGGCAATTATCTGCATTACCTAGTAAGTAGTAGGGAATTTGCCCGATGACTTATGGTGGGATGACTTACGGTGGGAATATTTTAACTTCCAAAATTGTGTGCTGCTACCAAAACACATAACTTCAGCATACAGAAATCCACTGTAAATATTCCTATTTCCCACTGACTCTCAGGATATAAAATTTCTGTTATGTGAAGACTAGTCATGCCAGCCAGACAACAAAGTTGTTTCGGTGTGTACTTTTGCTCTAGGTTTTTCTTCTGGTCTGTCCCCAGCACACCTGTATTGCGTTCTCTCCTTCTTCCCTTTCATAAACGTAATAATGAATTCCAATTTAATTTAAGGTTCAAAAACTGCAGCAAGAGACCTAGTGAAATGCTATAAAATCTAGACGCTTCATATAAAGTAAGAGAAGTAAGCCTATTACATAGGAGGAGAAGAAGGTTTCATGGTGGGGTTTTCATGAACTGGGAAAAATCCTGCAGTCCTGCCCACGAACTGTCTATGCAGGGATGCTGGTTTTCTAACATTTTACGCTGAAACGTTTTAGTGCTGCTTTCAGTATCGAAAAGGATGTGCTGGGGAGTCAGCAATGTCTGATTTCTGGAGCAATTTCACTTTCTTTTATCTTCTGCTCGCATATTAAATTTCATCTTCCTGCTTCTCTGAAGCAAAACACGAGTGTACCAAAGAACAGCCTTTGCCCTGCTGC